ATATGGCAAAGTAGGATAGAAATTAAATTTCAACAGAGCCTAAATTAGATAGATAAATAGATAGATAGATAATCTAATCATAGAATCAGAAGAAACAGGTGTCTCTTATAAATGTTATTCAGATGGTAAATATTGTTTATCACATTTGTGCATACTCATTCTGTGGAAATTTTCATAAGATTTTAAGTCACTTAAACCATTGATTCAAGATGTAACTGAAATATTTGATGATCCAGAAATATTCAAGTAATGTTACTACTAGGTATATAAAAATGAGTTTTATGATGCTGAGTCATAAACTAATTAGTATAAGTCCTTATGTCACCCACAAAAATCAGATTTTTATACTCACATAATACATAAATGGTTACTTTATAAAACAAATACTTAAATCCTAAATTTCCACTCTTTTTTAAATAGATTATAATTTTAACTAAAAATTGCTATTTTTAAAATGTCATGAATTCAATATAATGAAATAAAATTGGGATACAGATACATTTTTACATCCACTATAAATCCATTTTGTAGTTTAAAAAATGGGAAAATCCTGGCTTAAGAGAAATTTTATGAAAAAGTTCAGAGTTTATTTAACCATAAATCAATTAACCATCATCCAAAATGCAGTATAATGGTTTTAAATCTTAGACTGCATTAATAGAAATAGTGTATCTACAACAAATCTGCACTCTTTTGAGTCATTCAGGTAAAAACTGCATACTGTGCCCAAACAAATACCACACTTTAATCAAGTTACAGTTAAACCAGAGAGAAGCCAGTGGAATGAAATCAAGATAAGTTTGAAAATTGGCTTACATGAGGAATTTTTTAAAGAACCATGAATGTTTAGCCTAGTATTAAATTTGAGTTTGAAAGGTTTGTGTTAGTTATTATTAAATGTGCCAAAGTAGTTCTGGTTTTTGTGCTTTTTTTTGTTTTTTGGAAGTTATATTTCTTTGTTCATTAAGAATATACATACCTACCCTGCTCTACTGAGGCTTACCATCAGTAGGAGGAAAGTTCCATGTCCAAAATATTACACAGGGAAGTTGGTGTTATACCTTGTCTTATAATTCTGTGTCTTCCATTGTATGGGTAGAATTAAATAAAAACAGGAATCAGAGCTAGAAAAGACTACTTTGTTCTAACTCTTTTATAGCAGTCTAGATGAAGACTTCATAGCTAACTGAAATTATATATGCTGAATAAAGAATCCTTAGCTTTTGTACTACCATGGCTCCACACACACCCTATGCTGCCTTAGAGAAATGAATTTTTATCATTGTCCTTTCTCTCTCTCTTAAGGACATCAGATCAGTATACATGTACAACCAATGAAGCCAACAGTATGTCTGACACCAATAACAAGGAAAATGCAAATGGAGAACACTGGAGAAAGCTTTATTCAACACTTTTATTTCCTTAGTGCCTGAAATCCCACATATGGTGTTAGTCTCCGCATATGGGAAGAAACATGTGAAATCTGGAAAGAGATGACCAAAAGGCCAAAGTGATGAACCTTGCTCAAGTACTGACCTGTTAGCCTTGCAGAGCTCAGGGAGACTGTACAAAAATGCTTAAACTACTCATTGTTTGGATGATGTGAACATAAATTCCAAAAGGTTAGAACAATGGGAATCTCTTTAAAACTTTTAACGAGTTAAGTTTAGGTCAAATAAAAAGAATTACATCTTCACAACCAGATGACTTGTTAATTGAGTAGTATATGGGAGAAACCCCCAAAGGATTTCTTGATATTGGAAGAGGACAGAGTCATAAGAGATGACTGCGAAGGGAAGCTGAGATAGGCCTGGCCCTCTGACTCTGTCGTAGAGGATGTTGCCTCCCTCCATGATCCTCCTGATGACATCTACCCTGGCCTTCATAGGCCATTGTCTTTAACAAAGAATGACAAATCTCACCTTACAAAAAATAGTAAATGTTGCTGGAAGCAACATTTAATTCTTTTATTTTATCAGATAATCTCTCTGCATTGAGATTTGAATTCTCACTTGAATCCGATTTGAATTTTAACTCCTGTCATAGAAGAGCTGATATTGGAAAACAAAATCCAAGATCTCAACCCCAGGAGGCAGCGGCATTTTCCCCCTCTCTTCTCTTCGGCTGTAATTGCAGAAACCTCTCCAAAGAACCTCGAGTGCCTTTTTCCTGAGGCCCCATATGTTGGGAGAGGCTAACAGACCCCCAAGCATTATCATGTTTGAGTACATCAGCAAACTTGTCATCAGCTAATTAAGTCTCCTGAAACTGAAACTTGTGCGTACTCTTTTTAAAAACTTATAAATCAAAGCCTCTATCTCACATATAATAGTTTCCCTTCTATATGGAGTTTTTTGTTCTCCATAAGCCTTTTCGGACTCGATTTCAATCAAGCAACTTACATCTCTAAAGTGTGTACGTGAGAGTACTCTTCTAGAATTCTTACAGATTTTATAAAGCTAATTAAAAATACTGAGTTTGAGTTTGTATTTTTTTTTTGCCAAGTAAAACATTGAAATAGCATTCTTCAGCAGGATCTTCCTAGTGCTAGAGACAAGAAAACAGCATATGCACCACATGTTTGCACAGCAAGTACAAGAAGTCATGCTAGAGTTTACAAATGTGTGTTTTGTGTTCTGTGCTGGGTCATTACTGAGCGAAGTCTGAAAATAAAACTATATTTTCAATACTGTTAGATCATAGTTTGGGTGATTCTAATGTAGATTTGGACTGTTTTTCTGTGGACACTGTTATTTTAAATCACCCTGCTTTATAAAACTTCATTTAATTTTTTTAATGAGCATTCAAATATTTATGACTCTTACACATCAAATCAAAATTATCCTAGCTATATGCAATTTCAGAGTTGATGTCATTTCTCTATATGTGTTCTCCATTATAAAGAGCTAAGTATTGATATAACTAATAAACCAGCTATTGCTTTGTGGGTTGATAGTTTCTTATGGAAATGTGCTGAAAACCAGAGACTTAAAATTGTTTCTTCCTGTATTCCCTTCCCGACAAGTGGAATAACACTATATTTTGGACCATCGTAGATCTTGTGATGGAAGTTAATGAATTTAAACTCTATTATTCCAAAGATATACATTAAGTTCTCTAGCAGGGCAATGAAATTGGATTTTAGATTCTACATTAAATTGTAACACCACAGCCTCAGTGAAGCATTTGAATCCAATATCATATGTCAGAGAGAATGTCAGGAAACCATAGCACGTACTCTTCTATTTTCTGCTGTTGCAATGACAACCTCTCTCAAGGTTTTGATGAGTGTTTGCTTTGTCCTCTACATGGGAGTTTTTTGCTAACAGAGACACTGTTACTTAGTAACATATTTTAATCCAGAATTAGTTCCTCTTTGACCAATGCAAGCCAGAGCATTGCTGAGGATAAAATTCCTATTAAACGGATGTGAATTCAGATATGCAAGGAGGATGAATTCTAGACTTGGCGTAGTTCAATATTCTCTTCTTCAGCAATGGTACTTGTGTTTCCCCTCATTATCTTTCCATGAAACCAGCAGAAAGATTACCCCATGTTGTCTGTTGCTTCTAAATATTAATCAGGACCATGCTGTTTAATGCTTTAGAGAAGGATAGCTTTATTTTATATTTTTTCTTTGCAGGGAAGATTTTTTTTCTATTTGGTCATGTGGGACCGAACCAGCTAATTTTAGGACATTTTTAAAACATTCCCTTTAATTCTAGGGTGTTCAAAGATATGGGCTAAATATTGTCACCTGCTGATGGAGGTTGTTTCCCCCCACCACCACGTGCTTTGGGGAAATTTTATTTTCAGGTATATCTCTTTGGCTGTAAAATCATGTTTTGATCTCAAGCAAGAAAAAAAATTATCTTCCAATTATAAAAGGCCTCATAACAGTTAAAAGGGAGATCTTGAAGAGATTTTTATTATCTTAATTGTGCCAAAACAAAAATATAAACATGAAAGTTAGAAATATTTTAATAAAAAATGTTCAGAATCTATGGGTTTAAAGTAGTAAAATCTTGACTAAATGACATAAATGCATGAATTTCCCCAGAAGTAACATATAATTCAATGGCATTCTTATTAGGGTTTCAATGTTTTGATTTCAATTTTTTTTTTCCTGAAGCAGACACTTCTCAAAATTATTATAATGGTGTCTTAGGAGAAAAATGCTCAAAAAGGTTTGAAATAAGAGTAAAGGAAAACAGTCATGCATGCCATTATCTCAGAGCATTGTAAGCCACAATAATCACAGCAGTATTGTATGGATCCAGGAATTAATAGAGAAGCCAAAAAAAAAAAGTGTAGTTCAAAACCAGCATCGATTAGATTGTCGCTCTGTTGGAGATGGATTAATCTTGTTCTCTGTGTGAGAAGTGAGCAAAAGGCTCCGTGATGGAGCCTGTTATGCTCACCAAAGAACCATGTGCTCCTCTCCATTTCCTCCTTTTCTGTTGGGCCAGGCTCAAATAATCGGTTAAAGTCAATGAGATGAATCCAGAATTGATGTTAGCTGCTTCTGTACCATTTGTTCCTTCAAATACCCTACATCATCCAACAACTCTCTCTTCCCTTGTCCCTTTGAATATAGAAGCCACGTGTTTCAGACGCTAGCAGCTTGGGTCTCTGAGTCAATTCTTAGAAGACAGTACTTCAGCAAACTGCCTAACCAACAGCACTCTGTGACAAAAGCAAGAAAGAAGTATTTGTTACATTAAATAAAACTGAGAGGCAGACAATAATGACAGAACTATATAATCCTGCGTTACACAACAAATGTTTGTCTTAACTCTTTAAATACCAGTTGACAATTTAATTTTACAATGATTATTAAAAAGAAGCTGCAATATAACAGTTTCTTTTATCAGTTATCAGATTAGTTATCAGATCTCACATTTGGGTTGAGGGGGGAAACTCCAAACAAGAAAATGATAAAGGAATTCCCAAGAAAAAGAAGGCCATGTGATTCATATTCTTCACTCTCCTTTATCTAGGTTTTCCAGGGCAATTTTGACAATGATACCCACAGAAAAAACGTCATCGACCCTCCCATCTATGCCCGGCACATACGAATCCTTCCTTGGTCCTGGTACGGGAGAATCACCCTGCGGTCGGAGCTGCTGGGCTGCACAGAGGAGGAGTGAGGAGACCCCCGCCCTACAACCCTCCTCTCTATTCCCTTCTTCGCTATCTCCATGGAATGAACTGTGCAAAATCTGTAGGAAAAAGAATGGGGTTTTCATGAAAAAGTGCTCAAATTATGGTAGGCCACTAACTGTCTTTTTAAAGAGGTCTAAGCCTGCCTTTTCAATGCTTTAATTTGATTTTCATCATTTAAATTTCTTAAGCAACATCACATTAACTGTGAATGACTTTTCTCATGGTTTTCTGACTTATTCACACTGGTTGAGAAATATTAGGTAGAGAAAGTGGCAAGGGTAAAAAATCTCATAGCTATCAAATAATAGCAAGAGTTGATAGAGCTTTTATAATCAATACTCAACCAGATCTTATAAAAGGAATACTACAATGTTAGCAATAAGTTGTTTTTTTTCCTGTAGTGACCCTACATTATCTTGTTTCCCTGTGCCTATCTAAATACTGTTAGTGTTTATAATAGAATTTTGAAGATGAATTCATAACATGGCAGTACTAATTGATATTAGTGTTCTCATTTTACTTTTATTTCTAATTAGACATTATGTGATTTTTTGGTTCTGTTTTATATTCTTTATATTGTATATTGCTTGAATGAGTTCATATTTTTTCTAATTGAGTTTTTATTATTTGCCTAAAGAGGTATCATATTTGCTTATATGTGGAACGTTTGAAAATTGGTAGATTGATCATAATTAATATCAGTAGATTGAATCTGAAATTCTATTTTTGAAGGAAGCTGTAACTGTGTAAATTCCAAATACTTCCTTTATAAAGAACCCCATATTACCATTTGGAAAAAAAGGACAAAATTGTATTATATTTCTTTAAACCAAAATTTTTGTCTTCATTTTCATGGTATTTATATGTCCTTATCTTTACGTTACCATAATAGAATGGTGAAGGCTTTGCCTGTTTAAATTTCTTTTATTTAACAAACAAAAGTTAACTTAGCACTGCATAGCTTGGCTAAGCATACTCATTATTTCTTTGTTTATCTCTGCACTTCCTGTGAAACCAGAATTTTATTAAGATTTGAAATCAGTGGTGGTTTCCCAGGAAAGCACATTATATAGTTATTTGTGAAAAGAGAAGTACTTACTAATGACAAAGTGTTAACCATTTTCAAGATGAAAATTGATTTCTGTTTATTTTGCTTCAAAGGTCCTGAAAAAACAAGCAATTATCATAACAATTTGTTATTGATAATGGAGGTTTCATTGACATGTTTCTCAAATTAAAGCTCACACTGCCTCCATAAAAGTCCTCAACATCTAATTTATAAGCTTTACAATTATTTATTTTATAAGGCTTAGACACAGAATTATTGGAGTTTAAAATTAAAGGTCCTGGAGAAGAAAGTACGGTATGTGTACGAAATGCTGAGGTCCTGTGCAACATGGCTAAGTTTTTTTTCTTTTATTATTTGTGCTACATAATGAAAGCCACTAGACTATTACTGTCTTGTCTGTCCATGTGTTATTAGCATTCCTTAACAATATATGTATGGAGTGGTCTTCAAGTATAGTAAGGAACTTAAAGAGAAAGTCAATCATAATCATATTTTTAATAAGAGCAAAGTCAGGATTGTCTGGCCACATATTTATTTATGTCCACATTCTTTCTACTACAGACTCTTAATATGAAATTGCTGATCTGAAATGGTGATCAGTTTTCAGCATCTTTCAAAAACAAAATTTTCATGTCCTCAATATTACCTTTTAAGATAACTTTAAGGTTAGAAATTTAAATATTTTTAATTTGCTCAATTTTAGAGTCATATTGCAGAAAATTACATAAGTCCAAAAATATACACACACTGGCTGCCAGCTAGTAGCACTTACTTCTTTAAAGTTTTACTGTCCCACCAAATTTCTAGCTGTTTTCCTTTGTAGATAATGCGTAAGTCTTCATGCGTAACAGAATGTTTCAAAAATTATGAATAATTCTTTGTAATGATTTCCTTTATTAAAATTATTCATGACTTCTCCTGATGCTTTAAATTCTATTCTATTGATAGCTTTTTAAACAAACATTTTCAAAGAGAGTTTGTTAAAATTACATTGTTACCTTTCAGAAATATATTGAAATAAATTTCTCTTGCTTGTGCATTTTGTCTCTGTTCTAAACGCTCTTCACCAACATGCGTGATGAATGGATTATTTATTTGTCCCATGATGCCCAAATTCATAACAATAAAGGGATTTTCACATGTAAAAATGTGAATAATTATTGCAAAGTAGTATGTAGCTTTGTGTCGCTTGTATCAGTGACATCAAGGTGAAGTAAATTTAGTGTCTTTAAATTCATATTAAAACAAGTAAAATCTCATAAGTAGAATACATAGTTTTCCTTAGTCTTCACCACATTGAGTAACTATAATATGTTAATTTTATAATCTATGATATTAAAATTTTAAACATCCCCTTTCTATCTATCTTATTAAAAGCATTTATCATCGTTACTGTCTAATTTTAGGGTTGACTTTCTCTTTGTGAATGACTGACTAAGGATTGGTGTGAATTTTGAAGAATTAGGGTACACTAATGATTGTATCTTTGCTAGTAGACAAATTATGAAATATAATACTGCTGGCGTCTGATGTGTAAGTTAGCACAGAAATAACTAAGACACAAATAACCTTTGCAAACATTCAAGCTATGTAATATTCCAATGTTGTTTTTTTTCTTTGTATATATACTTAAATCATGTAGGATGTTGTAAAATCAGTATGACCTTGTCCAGTCTTCAAACTTAAAATAAAACTTTTGAAAATCTGGGATAATTTTGAAGCAGTTGTAATTAAACACATTTGTAAGAATATACCAATTGTCTGAATGTGAATGCCCATTACTCTTTATCTAGTTGCTTGGTTTACTTTATTTATTTATTTTTTGTACAAGACAGTTTTAAAACTACAGAGAAAAATAGAAATTACAAATAGCCTACAAATATACATTAATATCAACAAAATTAGCCTATCCAGAATTATTAAAATGTGTGCATTTCTTCTTGTTCCTTTTAGCTGTGGAAATTTTATTGAAATTCTAATAATCCAAAGTCATTTCTTTATCTAATGTATATTTAAAATATTGTGTTCCAGGATGGATCTGCTTATTGTCAATCAGGTGTTATTATTTCCATTTTTTTTAAGTACATGATTCTCAGTACTTTAATGAAGAGATCTAGTCAAACAAGCATTAATATGTGTTTACCCCTGTAAATTCAGCTACAATTATTTTTTTTTTATCATAACACTTGGCTCCTTCATAAACCCAGTTTCTGCCACTTTGGAAGTTACTGGTAAAATATTAAGTCTGTGTACTTTCTACATTTCAGGTATTTTATAGAATTCAAAAAAGGAAAAAAAACTCAAGATATTAAGTGTGACTCCTTAGCTGAGCTTCAGTGGAACTCTGATAGTTCTTAATACTAATTTACTATATGTATTTATATATCTATATATATATATAGATAGATATGTTCCCACTTAACTGCATTTTAATGTAAATGGTTCAGTGAGGTTCCATTGCTTGCCTAATTTTTGCACATACAAAATCATATAGAAATATACTTTTGCTAAATAAAAGCAGTCATATATATTTTTAATAAGACCAGTAAAAAATCATGGCATATATGCAGACTAAATGTTCATTGGGATAGCAGAATCATTATTCAATAAAAAATTCTCAACTATGAAACTCTTAAAATTACTGATTTAAGATATAAAAGTAGAAAGGCTTAGAATTTTGAAGATAAAAGTCTGATCATGTTGAAACTTATTTTGAAAAATCTATTAGATAACTTCATGAATGGAAAATATTCTCTCTATAACCTAAAATTTATAACATCTAGCACTTCAGCTTTGAATACACGATGTTAAGTAAAGATTTTGGTAAACTTAAATGAATTTTTACTGTCAGGAATACAATGTTTCTTATATCTCTCTTCCTGAAGGATAGTTTAAACAATATTAACAACCAAGTTAGTTGGTTATTTATTTTGTGACAAATATTACTTCTATCCTTTGAGATGCAAAAGGGCCCATTTACCTGAGCTAGTAAATGTAGAATTAAATCACATTGCTAGTTGAGAAATATCTGAACTACCCTGGAACAAAATGTATTATCATCCGTCTCTACAAAAATAGAATACCTGGGGTAAGTACCATTTTTTTCTATTGATTTTGAAGAGGAGAATAGGATTCCTTGAATTTGTTCCAGTAAGTGGCTATAATTTATATTGGATGTTTCAATATTGCCACCAAATAAGGTGTTTTCCACAGTAGGCAAGTGGCACTTAGGCCAAGAGATATTTCTATTAAATGAATTTGGTAGCAGAAATAGGAAAACTCTTTTGAAAAAGCCTCATGATTTAGTTGTTTCTGCACAGGTTGGCTGGAGCTGATTGAATCCTTTGAAAACAGTAATGTTTTGGAAATATGGTATAGTGGTATCAGCAAATGGTCACTATATTACCAGGTTAAGCATTGCCTATAGTGAGTGCCTCTGATTTAATTTCATTTTAATGTCCTCAAAGGCATGAGCCACACTTCCATATTTATGTAAAACCCCGTAGTGCCATTCATAGGCCTCACATGAGTATGTTGATAATGATGATGGATTGTAACATAAGCTCAATCTGCTGCCATTTGGAAAAGAAGTGGTGGCGATGAGATTGATGGTGCATTCAGACAGTACATCCCCCATGGCCAATGTGGAAACAGCTTTGTGATCACTTATATAAGCATCAGGCCAAAACACTGAAGAGAATTCACAGGAGGACAACTGGGAATAGACTACATGCACGGGACAGAATGAATGTTTTTGGTGAGAACTGACTTAAATGACAAATTAAACATGGATTTACATCTATCTTATTATAATTGTTTCACATACAAGAATATGACAGAAATTTAAACAAAAAATAGTAAATAAAAAATCCTTCCCCTTTAGTAGAAGGACTACAACAGGCCAGCCACTCTGGCAGACATGACCGGTACAGCTTTCTGAAGGCCAGAGGCATTTTCTATCCAGGCCCAGGAAAGAGGAATTGAACTGAGAGGTTTAAAATGGCACATGACAAAGGAAGCGCTAAATAATCATCCTGAAGCCATTTTAATTCCTCAGTTCTCAAGCTTCTTAGGTAATAATATGGAAGAATGCTATTTTTTAAAAAACAGCATGATCATCCTGTTACGGTGTGAATATTTTTGCCACTCCCAATTTACATGCTGAAATCCTAACCCCATAGTAAGTGGGACCTTTGAGAGGTACTTAGGTCATGAGGGTGGAACCTTCATAAATGGGATTAGTGCCCTTATAAGAGAGATACCAGAGAAATTTAGCTCCTTCCACCATGTGAGGGCACAGATAGAAGTCATGATCTATGAACCAGGATTTGGCTTTTAACTTCCAATGGTGATACATTGAAATTGGACTTCTGAGCCTCCAGGAGTGTGAGAAACTTATTAATTTCTGGAGTTTATAAGTTACCCAGTATGTGGTATTTT